GGGTCCGCTTGCTCTGATGGCCATTCGACGCCGGAGGGGGCGGGAGGCGCGGCAAGGATCGAGGTCGGGTCGGGCTGACTGATGGGTGGTGCTGCTTGTTCAGGGGATAGAAATGGTCCCAGCGCACGTGCGTCGGTGCCCCACTCCCAACTGTACGGCATGCCGCTTTGCGCCTCCTCCCCACACCTCCGCCCCATCCTGCCCGCATACACTCCTCCCAATCCCCCTCCTTCCATCCAATGCCACAACACAATAAAACCAGGCTGGCTGCGCGGCACCCTGTCTAAGCCCGAGATCACCTCCAAGATCAGGGGCGTCCTAAACGGCATCGACATAGCAGACTGGTGGGGCGGGGGCCTGCCTTTGAAATACATAAGCAATCCCGCAGCAACCAAATAAGCAACAAAAACGTGGTCGTAGCTCGACGATCACGTTTGAGCTTCTGCTGTTTCGGCTACCAACCAGGGTCCCCGCCTGTTGGCCTGCCGCGACCTGTACCCCTGCCCCGCAACTTACCGCGCCCCGCCCTCGCCCAAACCCCCACACCCCCATGGACGGGGGCCTTTGATTTCAGCGCCGCGGCGCGTTTCTCATCCCGACCGCCATTCACGCGGCCCCACCCCCTCCCCTGCACCCAGGACACCCAGCCCTGGTCATGTGTTACTCAACGCCTCGTTTTGTTTTTCCTCAAGCCACCCAAAAAAAGCCGATATGACCTCTGCAAATGAAACGAAACACCAAAGGCTCACCCTCGGCCCTGCATCACCTCAACCCCCCGCCCCCCCGCCATCTCCCCAGGGACCCCGCGTCAGACCCGAAGCTGGCGGCCAACTTCAGCGCGGACCACCCCCAGGGCAAGGCCCTCTGTAAACGCTTCCTGCAGAGGGTGAGTGCCTTTCCTTTGGCATGAGGGGATGCGGGGGGGGTGGGGGAGTGTTGCAGGTTGCACGATCATGCATGTTGTTGCGCCCGCTCAGGTGACGCCCCGGGCCGCCTGCCATCGAGGAGGAGTGTGACGCGCGGCGCCGCACGGGCCGGTCTGGGGTGTGGGATGAGTGGGGCGGCGTGAAGCCGCCTGGCAGGCGGAAAATCCTCTCGCTGCCCCGCCCGTCCTTTTGTTGACTGCTGCCCGCAACTGGCGAACCCCCGGGTTTTTTCCACACGGCAGTTGGAATCCCCTTGCGATTCGGCACCCAAACCCCTGCCCCCATCCTTCCCCAGGGCCTGGGCCTGGCTGAGGACCCCTCAAAGCCGCTGGTGGCCGTCATCACGCGCCTCGTGCCTCAGAAGGGCATCCACCTCATCCGCGCCGCCCTGTTCAGGTGCGTGACGCGCGCCTGCACGCCGCGCTGCGCGGGTGACTCATCCGCGCCTGCGGGTGGCACACCCATATCAGCGCGCCCGTGGGCATCAGTGCGTTGTCTGCGCGCTGGCAAGCTGGGCGTGTGCCGTTTTAGCGGGCTGCTTGGCTAAGCTCTGGGTGGATTTGGCCCTGCAACAACAAGGCCCCGCCGCGCTCGCGAAGAGCCGATGCCCATTTCGTTTTTGTCATGAGTACTCGGCCTCTCTGCTTTTAAAGTGTTGCGTCGAGGCAGTCCGTAGTCATCCCAGAAGCTGGCATGCAACCAACAACTCCCCACCCTGCCGCACCCGCGCACCCCCGAACAAATTTGAGCCCTTGCGCCTCTCAGCCATCAGCGCACCCACACAACTCCTCCACCCAACACCCCCGCCACCCCACCACCCTGG